GACAATTCGCTAATATACGAAGCCTAATCAAGACCCTATAATAACTGGAGGAAAAATATTTTAAAAAAAAACGAAAGAGGCTCTAATAGCTTCGATATTAAAGGGAAGACAGCCAAATGTATATCACAATACTGTTTCTAGCACTATATTTTATTTTATAATCACACATAATCTTATACTCTCAGCTCTTTTCCGAATCGCCCCCATTTGTCAGTTGTATGTCCACTCACACCTTGTCAACACTTATTTTCTTTAACATATTAAAATGCTCTTTCCTAACATATACCTTAATAAAGGAAAATTAGACTGAGTAATCATACCTTAAACATTCCTTCATGAATATTGGCTACTCTGCCTCTCGTGTTTTCTTTTACTTGCTCCCTCTTTCAGCCCCCTTGAGAAATGGAACTGGTGACTTCATCCTGCACCATCCTTAAAGCCTTGGATATCCCAGAAGGAAATAAGGTTGCGATTTTTAGAAGCCCATACCTTAAATGGACCTATTGTTGACCATCAGTCGCACATTCGCAACGCGACTTTCATGAAGCGCGCCAACTGTAGTACTGATTTAAACCATCGACATTCATATCTTATAAATTATCAACCCAGCTATGTAATTTATTGCAGTGTATATTGTATCATTTGTATCTATTTGATCTTGCCTGTAAACTGGCATGCCTCATGTAACAAACTGTTATTTGAGAATAAATTATTATTATTATTAAACGATTCAACTGACCATTTCTTGCCTAGTTTCAACTTGTTGATAGGGTGTTATGTAGGTGCTGAGTGAATAAGGTTATATATCAACTCTGAGAATCACGGTCAGTAGTCTCGGAAACCGTTTTGGCGAGAGATTACTGGGAGTCACGCGCCTATTAACATATTGGTCTGGAACAGCATGTACTAGCCTAAAACCTTTAGGCTATTAAGACTGATTGTAACATTTGTTTCTTTTAACGGTTTTGGATCAGACAACCTGCCAGTAAATAAATTAAGAAAGGTTACACGTAATTATAGTCGTGATCTGCTTTCATCTTTAATGTGCTTGCCACCCTTGTGTGAGTGTATGTGATTTCAGGATGTGGTGCAAGTTAATATGCTGTTTATGAGCCAGCTTCCTATTGCTCGAAGGTTTATGGGGATTTCGGTTGGAAACAGAAGCAAACGTAGCCGCTGAATTTTGTTTCAAATCTTTCCGAATCTTAGGAACTTTCTCCTGGGCACGTCATCTCGATAAGAAGGTCTTGGCACTTTCATTCTCATTCGAGAGGGTCACTATTTCCGTACCAGTGATAATGATTGCTTGTTGGACTGTATTGAAATGTGTATGCCTGATTTTATGGTAATATGTGAGTCTGGTAATTTGAGCACGAATCCCTTGAGGGATCGAGGCCGCTCTGTTGTCTTGTTCTCTATGCTTTATGGTTTGAAATCTAAAAGTTTGGGATTTCTTGTCTGTTTTGGACGTAAATAGTATCTTTGTAAATAGGCCAGCCTTATATTTTTAAAGTCCGAGTACACTGACTGAAGCCCGATTTGATATTGACTGCTGGTTCGGCAATATGTACATATGTACCAGTTCACGTTCTAATGGTTTTATTCCATTTTGCTATATTCCAAAGACTGTGAAATATCGAACTGATATGACTGATGTAAGATATATAATGATCCAAACTGAGGACTTAGTACGGATATACTGGTGCACAAAGGTGAGACTTCATGCATAGGTGAAAAAGCTGATAGAAACACGTGTTAACCAAATATATATCATTGAAAATAGTAATAATTAGTATGTGAAAAATCTTATATAAAAGTCTTTTTCGGGAAACACGACAAGCAGAATTCACCCGAAGAGTCTATGCTCTTCTCTACATGAGGTGCTAAGTGGGAGAAGGCAAATATAGTTAATACTTGATATGGGAAGGCGAATAGTCCAGCAAGGTGGGTAGTGGTCTGAAATTTACACGACGCTATTATACTCTACGGCCACTTCCCTTGTCTGATAAAAATCAAAGAATGACGTAGTTAGAAGTATGTAAGAGCAATGAAGTTCAGCGGTAGTACAAAATAACGTGATAAAAAGTGTGTATTCACAATTCATGCATACAAACACATATAAAATACAGATATAAATGTTTGTGAAACGTGGTTAATTTAAAGTATGTGTGATAATAAGATTGAAATTTTAAAACGTTTGCTAATATAAAACATATTTTTGATGTTCTTTCTTACTTTCGACCAACAGTTATAGCTTGGTTTCTAGTCCAACCAATAAATCTAGTGTTTGGAATTCGAAACCAACAAATTCATTCGGTTCTCACTGTAGTCTTAGCAAACGTAATATAGAAATGAACTTTAGTTAGAAAATTTTGCATTAGTTTCTATACTTATATCTTAACATGGGTGACTGCAGTTAGTTGGATGCTATTAAGGCGAAACTTTCATCTATATCTCATAGGAGCACTTATTCTAGCTGTGGTTCCAGTCACTTGATCGAGATGAACGGAACACTTAGAATTTTATGGCAGTTGACCTTCAGCAAGTGTTTTTACGCACCTAAAAGGCGGTCTACTTGAACATCTAGGTTACCCGTTCCTCCAATCTAGATATTTCAACCAGTTATCTGTTTTCATGTTTGTTTAGACAAGTCATAATGTCAATTAACTATATAACATATTCAGGTGCGTTTGTGAAAATTTCACAATCTTTCGCCACACAAGTTACAAAAATTTACAGTCGGAGACATCGTGACGGCTGGTAATGTGTATTGAAAGAAATGAATATTATTCAGATCCCGAATTCTGAAATGCTAATATCTAACTGGCGATCACTCAATATTTATCGTATATATTGTTCATGAAATAGGAAACGGAAACTTGTTGGAATACTTCGTGCTGATAATTCTATATTGTACCAAAAATATAATAATGAATAAACCCGATAATACTACTGTCGTAACACATTACCTCTCCACTCACACAAGGCTCATATAGAGTACAAAAATCGTATTCTGGAAGGATTATCCCGCTTTACTCGTCTTGGATTCACTTATATCCTAACCCTAGGGAACTTCGATCTTCGTAAAGTCAATTTCCCGGAACAAACGTACATTGAAAAAGGAAACTCTATTGAAGCTCGATTCATCAACCTCATCGAGGGCCTGGGATTATTCGATAATGTAAAGTCGGCAACTCTGGAAAAAACAGTCAGACGCCGTCACGCTTAGTCTGCGTATTTATAAACGAAGAACTTCTAATTGCCAACATCTAAATCCTGCCTCCCCTGGGGAAAATTGATCACGCCGTCATAGACTTCAGTTTTATCAGCAAAACTAAGCTAAGACAACCTACCAACAACATGCGCTCAAACTTCAAATGGTTGGACGTGTCAGCTTTACAGAACAATTTATAACAGGTGGACTGGGAAGCTCATCCTCAACTTGATGTGGATGTTCATCGAGATTTCTTGCTGCACTCGATCTTATGTGCTACAAAGCATTCTGTTCCGCTAACAGTCCCCAAAATCTACAAGCAACCTACCGTAATCAGGAACCTCACTCTTTGTTTGTCAAGCCACAAAAGACACTGCTGGGTGGGATACAAATTAACTGGTAACAACGATGCATACAAGTAATTCAAACTAATAAGGAACATATGCACAAAGGCAGTAACAGAAGACAGGCTTAAGTAACAGATAAAGTTTGTCGACTAATTTATCTCCAATCCGAAATACTTATTGGCAGACCAGTATTCTCGGATATTTCAATCGACCTATACTAAATATATTGATGAACGCTTCATCTGCAACTGCACAGAACTTTCCGAAGTGAACCTGAGCGCTGACTTGGTGTACCGGAAAGTGCAGCACCTAAAAAACGACACTTCTCCTGGTCCGGATATGGTCCATTCTGTTATAGTGAGGGGAGCAGCTTCAATCTTGGCAACACCGCTTAGTGTGACGTTCCTATATCCGCTAAGCCGAATCACATTACCGGAAAATCGGAAGCTGGCTCACATCACACTAATTTTCGAAGGAGGTCAATGCAGTAAACCTTCAAGCTGCCGACCGGTAGCACTTCTCTCTATACCCTCAAAAATTATGGAGTCCCTGATATGCGACAGTACACACGACTATTTAATGCTCATAAACTTTTTTCATTCCAACAGCACGGTTTCAGAAACGGTCACTCTTGTACAACCAACCTGATAACTGCGGTGGACAGATGGTCAACCATCCTTGGGAGCAAGTGGAAGGTTAACGCCATTTGCCTTGAATTCTGAAAGGCTTTTGATAGGGTCGACCATATATGTATTATCAATAATCTCAGACGATTAAGTATAAAATCATCTTTAACTGATTGGCTCACTTCATATCCGAAACATCGACGTTTTAAGGTCAGGATTAACTCCACTTTCTCTCAGGCTACGGAATGTCCTTGTGGAGTCCCCTCTCAGGGTTCAGTACCACGACATCTTTTCTTGATTTATATGAACGTTCTTCCACAGCGGTTATCGTCATATTTATTATTTTTCACTGATGATGTGAAACTCTGAAGAGAAGTATGCAATCAAGAAGATAAACTGGCACTTCAGGAGTATTTGACTCAATTTTAAAGCTGATTAGATGACAACGGACTTACATTTAACAGTTAAAAAGTAAAGTAGTCCATCAGAGACATGTTGCAGGTTAGAACTACAACTTAGGTATGTTAGTTGAAAATGATCTAGAAGTACTGGTACCCTACGATTTTAAGTCTTACGCTAAATGTGACAAAAATGCCTTTCGATCAAACCGTGCTTTGGTAATGTCGAAGCGCATTTCCGGCCAGTTCGACTCAACAAATTTACACATGATCTTCAACAGTTTTATTCGTCCCCATTTACAGTACGGAAACATAGTTTTTTCTCCCTCACTCCAAAGGGATAAGGATACTCTGGAACGTATCTAACGATGAGCAAGAAATCAGTTCGGGGATTCAAATTTAAGTCCTAATAAGAGCGCCTCCAATCACTGAACCCATTAGAGTACATGCATCTTAGAGGTGACCTTTTAATAACTTATAGCATTCTAAATGCTTATAGACATCCCCCTAAACACTTACTTAAGCTCAATTCCAACACAAACCTTAGGGGTAACACCCAGAAACAGGAGACACAACTCAACAGAACGGATTGTAAACACATCTTCTACTCCGAAAGAGTAGTCAAATACCAAAATTCGCCACCGGCTGAGTTAGTTCAAGCGACTTCCCATGAGTCTTTTAAGAGAAAACTTGACATATTCTTAAGGACTAAGGACAGTATCTCACTATGACTTACCAACTTTGTTTCTTTTTCCTCTTTTATCGATAATATACCTAGGTTCCTGCCTGGAGGTATCGGTGATTCACTGCCGCTAGATATGGAAGCCCGTTAAACGAAAGCTCCAACTATTCCATACAGAACCATTTGAACAATCTGGACGTTTAACCTTTGCGCTACCAATTTCTAGTTTAAACCGTCCGAGTGTTTTGGTCTCGCTCGTGTTACTGCTAATTATTTCAGATCTTCATAACTTGGTTTAAGTGTATTCTGTATGTCTAATCAGTCATCATCTCACTTTTCTTCATGCATTCATTTTTAGATTTGTTCACTCTGTTTTTCGCATTCTCCAGCACACTGCGTCGCTTCAAACAAGACGCAAAATTACCAGACGTTAAATGTCATAATGCCAATAAACCTGCCTCACATCTTACATCAAATTGAAGAAGCATGTAAAGCAGTAGGCTTGTCATTTGTTTGTGTACATGGATATTTAGTCCTCATCTAACCAAAAACTTTGTCGCTTGGTCGCAGTTTCGAAAGAAAAACCTATCAAGTCTATTATAGAAGCTTATAATTTTGGACAAAGACATTTTGGAGAGAACAAGGTAGTCAAAGGAATATTTTTAAACTAATTACATTAGATTGTTCATTTGTATGACAAGAGTTACTCACCTGAGGTATATTTGTTCACCTATAGACTAAGCAGAATATTCAGTTAATTAAGTCTTGTCCGGACATTAAGTGGCACTTCATAGGCCGGATTCAATCCAATAAAATAAAAAAGCTTGCCGGTAGTTATTCACTTTTATCTTACGTCTTAAGGAGTTAACAATCTATACATGGTAGAATCTGTGGACTCAATGGACCATGCTGAGATTCTTAATTTATCATGGGGGTTAAACCATCAGATCCCTCTAAACATAATGATTCAGGTGAACACAAGTGGAGAGCCTCGTAGTTCTACTTTATTGCATAACTCAGTTTTTAGAGAAGAGTGGCATCAAACCCACTGAAGTTAATAATCTGTACAATCAAATTGAAGCAAAATGCCCTAACTTAAAAGTCGTTGGTCTTATGTGCATTGGAAAAGAAGGAGTAGATATCAATTCAGGTCCGAATCCGGACTTTGTGGTTAGTATTTTGGTTAACTTATATTTCAGAAACTTGTACAATGCAGAGAGTTACTGGCCTCGTCTTTGGGGAAATCGCCGTTGGATTTTGAACTAAGTATGGGAATGTCTCACGATTTTGAGCAGGCTGTAAGTTTTCAACATTATTAACTGTAAATATAGATACGACTTGGAAGCACTAACGTCCGCATAGGAACGGCAATATTTGGGCAGCGAGACTCGAAATACGTACCCAGACAGGATACCTCTGCAAACAATCAAACTCCCATTTGATATTCTATCAGTTTTGTTCAAACTATCATTATTTGGCTTTCATCACTTCACGTATAGTAGCCAGTTTTTTGCATATTGTTGAACTCGTTTTGTTCCATAAATATTTTTTGAATTACTTAGTTAATAAAGAAATGATACAAATTTAACGGTATTCTGCTTGTGCGTCTCCAGTTCGGGCTCTGTTGTCTATGTTTAAACAAAATACGTATTCAACTTTCTGAAAAACAAATCAGTCAGCTACAACGTACGACCAGGAACATATATGCATCGGTCCAAGTTGCCACACCTCATTAGCACAACAAAATGAACGCTGGATTCATAGAAGTAGTCGACTCGATGGTAGTAATGTACTAAAAAAGACTGTGTATAAGGATGTAGTACAGGAAGAATGAATTAGTTCGCAGGAAAAAAGGCATAAAGCAATTTTAATCACATAGTTTAAGGGAGGACAACGAGTGTATACAGCTACACTATTGTGATCGATTTTGAGCCATGTCACTCAGTCTGCAGCCATTGGTTATGACAGTCACACGGACCCAACCAAGTAGTCTGTATCTATCCACATGACTCAAACCAGAAGTTAGTGACTTGATAAAATATTGTAAAACAAAAATTAAACGTTCTGAGATAAGGTAAATTCGAGTGCATATGTAGGTGACTTGGTGGACTGTTTTGGTTTGGCCGCCCCTTGCTTTCTTCCAACCATCCCCATTACTAGTTAACATTGCGCGTCGTGATAATCGCTTTTGAGGCATACGTAACGCGTGGTCCAACCATTTCAGTCGATGGAGATTTAAGACTTCTTCAACTGATTTATCATTCCCTAATACCCTGCGTTCAACCTCACTATTACTTACCGGATGATCCCAGTAGATGCGAGCAATATTTCTAAGATATCTGTGATAAAATATTAGCAACTTACGAGTATCTCCCACTACTTTTTCAAAAAGTTATGTCATCCCCATGCATTACGCATTAAGGTTTATAACTACAATGAGTTTGGATGTGCTGTCACTACAGTGGGTAATGTACATAGCGCACCTAATATCGCTTAGTTCAGCTGTCTCCGTACTCGAGTTATCGTTTATCTGTTCAGAAATTGTTTTCTCTTTCCATCTCCGAAATATATAACTGCGTTTCCTTCTAAAGTTTTCCGTACAGAGAAATCGCCACATGCTCTGTAGCTGTTTCTAATACAAATATAACTAAAAACACTTGTGACTGTCTAAAAACCAATCAACAATAATTAGTAGCACAAAGTTTTTTCTATTGTTTTCGATCATCAGTACGAGTTATTATTCTTAGTTTAGACGCAAATCTAATAACATATTTACGCGGAAACGTAGTGTTCATATCATAATTTAGAGGGATATAAAGCTTATTTTAATAAAACCTTACTGGATAAATAAATAAAAGCTAAAGACGTCGATATAATATCTTGGTACTCAACCTGAGTTTTCGAAATTCCTGATTTTGTGAGACAAATAGTCCCATCAGCTGGAGCCGAACTTTTGCTTTTAAAAGACTGAGTGCTGTTATTTACGCTGTGGTCGGAATTCAGCCTACTCAATAAATCTGGAGATTTGTTCATATCCCATTGTCATACAGTGAGCAATTACTAATCTCATACTAACCTCAAGTAGATCCGACCTCTACGGATCTACAACGCGTCGGTGAGAGCAGTTTTACTCTATGCTTGTGAAACCTGGCCTCTCCGAGTTGAGGACGTTAGACGACTCTCTGTGTTCGATCATCGCTGTCTCCGAAGGATTGCTGACATTCAGTGGCAACACCATGTCAGTAATGCAGAAGTTCGGCATCGTGTGTTTGGGCACAGAGATGATAATTCAATTGGTGTCACCATCTTGAAACACCGACTTCGGTGGCTTGGACATGTTCTACGAATGTCGTCCCAGAGAATTCCACGTCGTGCATTATTTGCCGACTCTGGGACTGGTTGGAAAAAGCGGAGAGGTGGTCAGTACATGACATGGTGTCGTGGCATGAAAGAAAGCTGCAAATGACTGGCTTCTGACGGTCCTTCACGACTCCCTGGTTGGGGTCTGAGAGATGGTGCTACACAGTGGCTAGAGACGTTATCAGATATGGCTCAGAATAGAAGCCAGTGGCGATCCTGCTGTAACCTTCTTTTACTTTCTTCATAAAAAGTGGTTGTGTCTCCCTTGAAAGATTTCTTCTGATTGTACCTTTCCGTTCCATCGTTACGACCACACTACCTTACACCAATCTCTTCGTTATCGTTCTCTTTTTCTTTTGTGCTCCTTAGTTTTTTTTTCTATCTCTCTTCGAATTTTCATTGTTTTGTGTGGCGCATATATATTGGCGCTCTCTTGTACCAATATTTATGTGCTCAAATAAATAAAATAACCTCAAGTAGGTATCTGAATTACATTCACACACAGTCATGATGTGCATTATAAGTTTCAATGTTTACAGGATATTTTGCTTAATAATGTACGTTTCTAAACAGTTTGCAGAAAATTTTGAACTTTCATTTAATACTTATCAGCACTCACCAATATAGTGTGTTTGTAACTATGAAGGAGCTTTTTGTGCTTTTAAAATGTAAATCCTTTAAATTGAATATTTAATTGAGAATGTCGTGGTGTTAGTGATTAGCTTAGGCTTGTGAGTATTTTCAGTTAAAGAACAACAACATGGTCTATAATCTCACACCGGTTATTTGGGTGCCTTCTTTTATTTTCATAGATTTAAATTGCAAACGAAAAACATTAATCATTTCCTCTTAATTTAAACGTTCAATCGATGGATACTTAAAAAATAGTCATAAAATATTCATTTATTATGCACCTTCATGAGTTAATCTATATATCTTATAAGAAGCTCTGTGGATTATGAAACTTATCGACTACTTATAGATAATAACAACTTGTGTTAAATTTAACATTATATTAGGCTGTTAAAAGGAATCGGCCAAAAGATCTAGATCTAGGTTTCATACTCTCTAGTACCTTCTAGGAAAATATAACTGTAATCAAACAGCAACTCATGCTTCATATCGTATTCGAACCCTTCGTGAGTGATTTTTGTGCCACAAATAACTTCCTGTAAAACTAATGTACTTACATTAATTGGCTACATCGAAATAATCAATTACATTTTGTTTAGTCACTATTAAGAAACAAATTCCATCATTCAAGTTGCATTACAGCTGCCAGAACAAATAGTTTGATAATAAGTACCTCCAACCATCAGACAAAATACACCATAACTTTAAGTTACTAATCCTTCTGGCTACAATGCAATTTTATCAATCAAATCTCATTATCACTAAGGACTAGAAAATGTAACATTAATTATTACTTATTATATCATAGTTGGAAATATCAGGAATAGAATATAAGTCTAAACCCTGCCTGAATAATTAATCTAAAGAGAATTATTTATTTATTTTATTGAATAAGGTTTAATACCTAAAATTTCTGCACAACAATTTCAATTTATCTTTAAAACTAGTGAACAATGACATCCAAGAAATGCTATATGAACTATGATCATTACTAATTAAATCCATGTATTGTGATTATCTAAATTAATAGTATCCATCTATCTATTAGATTAAGCATATTTACTTAAAACATGTACACATCAAAGGAGTCGACACAGTTCCATTTGTTCATATTTCTCTACTTTCTTTTTTCAACTTTATCTAACTCAATAACAATCTGCTCGTTTGAAAAACAGCTGTTGTTTATTTTCGTATTATATGCTTAAATAATGTCCTATAAGTAGGATTCTATTCCTTTTACTCCACCCACTCCTTACTCATGTACCTTCATCGCTGGTATATCCGTGTATGTCACTAAAGTTTGTCGACTTTTACTCAATCAGTTCGTTTTCTTTTCTTTTATCTACGTTTTTAACGTACATATGTATATTCTAAGTTTACGTGATTTGGTCTATAACAATGTCTATTAAAAGAAAAAAATCAAGATAATAACAGTTTTGTGAAATATGAGAAACAGAAATTAAATACTTTTATGAATATTATCGTTATATCATTCATCAGGCATAATTCACCATGTGATTTTCTTCGTCAAATTGTCAACTGGATGACGCAACCGAACGTTGATCCAAAATAACTAATCATTATTTCTGATCTAAATGCTATTAAATCATTAAGTTATATGGTAATCTTTATATGACTGTTATAATAGTAATACATGCATTTTGAAATATGTTTCTTAAGTAACTAAAGATGTGAATGATTTTGTCTCCTTTTTTTAAAATATATTATTAAACTTTACGAGTAAACGGTTGATTGATTCCAATCTATATATTTCGTTGCTATGGTGTCTTTAAATTAATGGTCGTATTTCTTATATTCACATAATCTAAAACATATTTTCATGTTAGATTAATGTTGCCAATTGATGAAAAGCTCTAAACTTAGTTTTTTGCAGATGTATTCATAGTCATCAGTTAGCTATCTCATCTGAATATTCCAGCAGTAGTATATAACTGGTTTCGGCATTTGTATAAATATTTGAATTTGTTGATGGGAATTATTGACACATCATTCTAATGAGTGTCAATCAGGACAATATGTTTATCTATGGCTTCTAGTCTGTTGTTTGCTTCAGTGTTACTCCTTTTTAATTTGCTTATCACTTGCTGTTGGTTTACAATATGAATTGTTTTCTTAATGTGCGATAATATACAGGTTTTCTAAATGATATTTATTCATAATGGGAGTTATTGTCCACTAGCTCATTATATATTATGGACCTAATAAAAGTTAACATTTATAAAGTAAATATATAAAGATACCATGAGTTGATATGAAATATCAATTTACCATACTTATAGAGAAAATTAACAAGGAAATACGAAAAAAATTACCGAATTGGTTGGTATAAATTAATAACTTAAATCGAGTTACCATTCCATCAATCAAACCCACTTCATTGTTAAGGTACATTTGATGGTAATTGTTGATAGATCCCTCAGTCGAAACCAAATCATTATGACTTTCATACTGAACTTCTTCATTATGAAATAAATAAGTAACAACTCGGGGGAAATGCGCTTCTTAATGTTATGCTTACTGACCTCAAGTAAATGGAATAAGGTGTTCTAGATAGGAATTTCGTAAAGCTTTACT